GTTTGTGTTCAGCTGGAAGGTCAGCATGGGCCTGGAAGATGGAAGCCCAGGGGTCAGGTCCCAGTCATTGATTTTCCACAACCGCTTCTCTTGGTTTCCTCCTACCTCATGACAATCTTTTGGTCTCCTTCGCTGGCTCCTCTCCCTCCTGAACTTAAACTGTAAATTGTTGGAGTATGTGAAGAACTTGGTCTTGGTTATGTTTCTTTTCATTGTCCATATTCTGTCTCTCTAGAAGACTTTAGTGCCATGGGTTTAAATGTTTTAAAATATTTTTAATTCAATCAATAAAGATATATTTAAAAAATAAAAATAAAAATAAATAAATATTTTTAATTTATAAATCACAAATTTCTCTACCATAAGCAATGGCCTCTTCGATGCCTTCATTTGCATGTCTAATTTGCCTCTTCAACTTAATACCTCTAAAAACGGGGTCTCGATTGATCTCAAGTTGTTTAACTCCTCACTTCCCCTTTCTCAATAAATGGCACCTGGCATTCTTTATTTTTTTTCTCATGCCCTATTTGTCACAAATTCCTGATAATTCTATCTCCTTAACACCCCTCCTCCTCTCCTGCCTCCTCTCTGTTCTATCTCTATTCACCCTACCTGTACCCTAGTCCAAGTCACCAATATCTTTCCCCCAGACTACTACACTTTCCTGCTATAATTCATTCCCCTGACAGCCTCTATGTTAATCATACCACGTCTCTCCTCAGATTGAGAACCATCATCGGTATCACACCTATCACCCGTAAGGCACAACCTGAGCATCTCACCCTGCAAGAATGCACCCCTTGCTTCCTCCTCAGCCTCGTCCTATAGGTCCCTTCCTTTGCCCACCCTCCTCCCAGCACATTGGCTTCTTCGTCATCCCTGAACACCCTTGACCTTTCTAGCTCAGGGATTTGGGACTTGTCTGCCCAGAATGCTAGTCCTCTTCTATTAGCACAGCTGGCTCACTCTCATTTTTGAATTCTCAGTTGAAAGATGATCTCTTCAGAGGGAACTTTCCCAAACATCCCCTTCAAAGATGAATCCTCAGGTTCATTTCTGACATAACATCTCATTTATTTCCTTCAAAGTATTTACTACAAAATGTGAAAATCTTCTTTGTTGTTTACTGTTAAACTTTTCTACCTAGAATGTTTTTATTGCATGAAAGTGTAAACTCATTAGAACAGATATTTTGTCTAGATTACTCCTAAATCTCCAGTAGTTGCTCATTGAATGCTTGTTAAAGGAATGAATGACTCCTACCATCATTGCAAATATCTGAATTTAGGTACAACAAGAAATCGGCCATGATGAAATCGGTGGTCAGTGAATTTCTGGGGAAATGCTGCTGTTCTGTGAGTGGAGTTGTGCCCTGAGTCTTCCTTCACCTGGGAACTGGCACTTCTGAAGGTGTGATTTGACTCACCTTTCCTATGTGCTGGGCAAGAATGATCTAAGCACAGGGCTTTTCTAAAGCTAAGAAGTGAGTCTCTTTCACAAAAGAACTAAAAACAGAATTCTGATTCATGACTTTGCTAATGGTTTTTCCCTCCAGGGGAACCTCCCTGTGCACAGCGAAACCTCTCTTGGGGCGCAGCCTTATGCCTCATGTGACGGTAACCATGGAGCCTCAACTCTGCTATAGCTCGGCAGGCTTAAGCCAAGGGGCATTCAAACGGTGGTCGCTGCCACCACGTCAGACCGTGTGCCCTTCTGGCAGGATGCAGGTTCCTTCCCATGCTTCTCCAAGGTTTGTTTGGAAGAGTTGTTGGCCTAGCTGATAAACTCATGAATAGAAATGCAATAATAAAAACAAACATGCGCATGAATATGTCATTATAAATTTTGAAATCAAAGACAAACACCATCATAACTAATCAATTTACAGGCCAGAAAATAATTGCAGATAATCGGATAAGGGTAAAAAAGTATCTTCTATGTTGTATTTGTTGTTGGTTTCCTTTTCTTTCCTTTAAAAATTATTTTTGAATGGAACAACTTAGTTGGGTGAAGTCTAAATTACATAGCCTGTAAATAGGAAAACTATCAGCTGGTGACTCGGAACACTTGCTTTCACTGAAACATGCAAGGTGAGAGGAGGGAGTGGAAATGAAGAGTAGTCGGAGTACAGAAAGGAGGCAAAAACCATTGCCCGGCAAACCTGGTGAGGGACAAGGCTAGAGAATGAAGACGCCGTGAGATGCCAGTCTCTCTCCTACCCCCGCACCACCTGACCTCTTCTCTGCACATCCAGGAGCCTTAGTTCCCTACTCGCCCGCTCCTCTGGGAGCGAGCCACTGTGGTTTTAAAGCACTCTGTGCAATGCAAAGAATTCTTACATGTATCTTGTGGTTTGAGAGCACTTTTACGTATCACTCCCATCCTTATCTTCAGTGAACTCTTACTGATGATCTAATATGCTGAAGAAGAAACACAAAACACCCGTAGTTGTCAACCAATTAATTTTGGCCGTAGACACCCCAAAAGAGAAAACTGAGGCACTGAGAAGCAAATGTTAAGCCTACCTGAAGTGGCAGTCTGAAAAGAGCAGACCAAGCCTCCTCCAGCAGACACCAACCTGTCTGATCTGGTGACAAAAGACTATACTGCTTTTGGCGGAAATGGATGGAAAACCATTCTCACCATCTCCCTCCTGGAGAGTTAGGGAAAGAATCTTTACCAACAAAGTTTGGTCCCTACTCAAATACTATAACACTACCTAGAGCAGAGGCCATCTTTCTCATAGGGTTGTGAGGACTGAGGGAGAGAACACAGGTCAAGCACCTAGATTGTGGCTGGAACATAGTAGACGCTCAGTAAATATAGCTATTGTGTTGTTGTTTTTTAACTCAACACTCTTACATATCCTTTTCACTCACCTTTTTTCTTGTCGGCACAATAAGTAGACACTCCAGATGCCTTCCCGGTAGGCTGGGAGCTAATGAATTCCAGGCTGCACTTCCCTGGACTACAGTACCTCTGACAGTCCACCGTCTTCTGGTTCTTTCTTCACTGGGCCTGTTGCCTAAATTCCCAGGACTCCCAGGAAAACTTTCCGATGGGAAAGGCAACGGGAGACTTCCTACCTCTTTCTTTACTGGCACTTTGCAATCCTAGGAGGCTTGCAGCCCCGCCCTCCCAGGTTCGCAAAGGGAGGTATAGGTTCTCTGGGGAATTAGATGGAGTACAATTTAAATGGGAAGCTCTCAAGACATCTCAAAAAAGCTTCCTCTACTTTTTTTCTATTTTCAGTAGAGATTGGAGATGCTGGCAAATGGGTCTCGGTAAACACAGGACTGAATATGATTTGACTTTCTCATTACATTTCTGGATGAGCGGAGGCACAGGGCTCCGTGCGTGTGGCGGGGCAGGGTGCGTTGTCTTATTGATGAAATGCACTGCGCAGGTCGACGCTGTAAACTGACATTGAGAAAAGCTGGTTGCGGGGGTGGAGGGGGTGTGGTAGGAGGCGTTGGAGCTCGCTTAGGGGAGCGTGAATGTGAACGCGAGAGGGGGGAAGGCGCGCCGGAGAGCGCGGGAAAGGCTCCTGGTGAGGCAAGTGTGCGTCTGTTTCCACAGCGCCCTGGCTCGCCGCAGCCCCTGGCTGGGCGAGGGGTGTGATGTGGGAGTGGGGTG